GACGATCCCACTGACTCAGCCAGTTGCCTATGCACCGTGCTAAGTACGCCTTGTTAATTATCGTTTGCTTTTTTCCACTATTTTCATTTTTGTTATGCCAACACAATCAAGCGCAACTATTCCGCTGCAATTCACTTGATCATGTGGTTGTTGGTATTGTTGGTTTTTGCTAATAATTCCATTTTTAGAATGTTTAACTTTTACGTGTGCTCGTCCTTAAGTTATTTGTTTTTGTTATTTTTTTGGCCTTTATAACAATTATAAAATTTTCATTTAAAACAGCCTCGAGCTCAATAAAAATTGTTGAATATAATTGTTATAAAGGCCAAAAAATTAACAAAAACAAAAAAAGCTAATTTTAGAAAAACTATCAAAATTGTAAATATGCATCTAATTTAGGATTTTTTTTAAGAAAGTTGAAATGTTTTATAAAAAAAAAAAATTTTTAGAATTTTTTGGGGGAAAAATTTACGCTAAAACGCAATTTAGGAAAACAGTATTTTAAGAAAAAAATATGTTAAGTCTAATTATAAAAAATTTTCCAAACATTGGAAACAAAGATTTTACAGGAGAAATAATTAACTTTCCAGTAAAACTTTATTTCGGAAAAAATTATATAGCAAATTAAGACAGAAAGAAAATTTGAATGTTTTAGAAAAAAAAGTTTTTGGAAAAAACGTTTTTAAAAAAACATAACTTGGGAAAAAGATTTTTTTAGAAAAAAAAAGATGTTAATTCAAGTTAAAAAAAAATTACCAAACTTTGGACACAAGGATTTTTTTGGAGAAGAAAATTATTTTTCCAGTTAAACTTTTTATTTCGGGAAAAATTTATGTTTAGTGAAAATTTTAATATTTTAGAAAAAAATGGTTTTTAAGAATTTATTTGAGAAAAACTAATTTTTACGAAAAACGTAATTTAAGAAAAGCGGTTTTTTAGGAGAAAATGTTAATTCAAATATAGAATAAATAATTTTGCAGATTTTTTGGAGAGCAAAATTAGTTTTCCAGTAAAACTTTTTATTTAAGAAAAATTATTTTTGGGAATAAAAATTGAGAAAAAAAGTTAATATAAATATCTTAGGGTGTCAAGTACTTTTTTAAGAAAAAAATATTTTAATTGAAAAATTTCTTGCAGCTTTTTTACGAAAAAAATTATATGGATAAAAATAATTTTTTGAGAAAATAATGTCTGGCAGAATCATAAAAAAATTTACCCTAATATCTGAAAATATGAATATCCGATTGGACAGCGCGAATGCACAGACTAAACCGGACATTTCTGTTTTAACAAAGAAAATTTTAAAATGTGGATACCTAATTCGAGGAAATCCATTTGATTGTGCGAAGAGGACCTGCACCTGCTAATCAAATGTATTTCATCTTCTCGTTTTTGTATCCAGTCTGACAGTGAGCTATCTCCAGTACACACTTGTAATAAATTAAAACAAAAGCCGTCATCTGCTGAATGTACACTTTGCACTGATTCAGGTATTTTAAAAAGACATCATGAAACTATTTAATTTGCATACTTGTTCTAAAGTGTAAATTTGCATTCTTTCCCATGAAAAATTTTCCACATACATGGAAGGGATGTGAGGACAAAAACAATGACGTGCAGACAGTGATTAACATAAGGCCAGGGTGAAACGAAACGAAATGCATGGAAAGGCAAATGGAGTAATGTTTAGGTTTAAAGTTAAACATTTGCAAAAAAAAATATGGAAAAATATTTGATGCTCTTTTTGTGACAACTTCAAAAATACTTCATGACGTGGCTAGTACTTATGATGACAGCTTTTTAACGGAAGGCTGAAAAAGGTGTGCTTAATTTGCGTATTACAGACATGACAGTGTCAGTGGATGATTTAGTAGAGGCTTGAAAAACAAGCCCAAGCAAAGTGGCGTATAAGTAGAGTTTCAGTGTCCTCATGAAAATTCACATATTCTTATTTTGCCCTATCGCAGGTCATCAAGCTTCCTCACATCCAATTCCAGCAACTCTCTTTTAAACTAGCAACTGTCTTTCGAGCGATAAAAGCCGTCTTTGACCCATATGTCAATTCTGGCAATTTATATGTATGTGAATTTTTTTCTTTTTAAACAAAAACTAAAAATTAAAAGAAAATTAAACTAAAAAAAGGATAAAATTATATTTTAAAAAAGAAAAAAGTAATAAATCATGTTTTTAAAAATTTAGAGAAGTCCAAATTAAAACAAATTAAATTAAAAAAATATATATAAATGATATAAATTCATAAAAATTAATAAAAATTGCAAGATTTTTTTTTTGAAATATAATCTAAAAATTCTAAGAAATTTGATCTAAAAGAAGAAAAAATAGAGTAGGTTCGTAAAAGTTAGGTGTAATTAAAAAGAAAATATTTTCTTTTTAAAACAATAAAATCTAAAAATTAAAAGAAAATTTATTAAAAAAGGAAAAAAAAAATTCAATTCGAAGACTAAAAATTAAATTAAGTTAGAAGACTATATTTCTTTTAAAAACAATAACATTAAAGATTAAATTAAAATGAAAAAACCAAGAAAATAGAAATTACAAGTATTTTTAAAAATATATAATTTAAACTTTTAAGAAACTTACTTAAACCAATTAAAGATTTAATTGAGAAAAGAAAAAAATATTATACATTCCTATAAACTTAATGAAATAAAAAATTTTTTTCTTTTTAAAACAATAAAATCTAAAGATTGAAACAAAATTTAAAATAAAAATAATTTAAACAAAATAAAAACAAGAAAACTACATATATATATTTCTGGAAAATTAAAAAATAACAAAAACCATGTCTTTTTAAAAATATACTATCTTAGTTTTTTGCGAAAATTAAAATAAAATAAATTCGTAAGAATTAATATAAATTACAAGAAGAATTTTACTTTTAAAATAATATTGTCTAAAAAATTTAAAGTATTTTAAGTTAAAACAAGAAAAATCTTAAATAAAAAAGAAAAACAAATATAATGAAATTCTAAAAATTAAATGAAATTAAACAAAAATACTTTTGTTTTTAAAACAACAATATCTAAAAATTAAACAAAATTTTAAAAAATTAAATTTAAAAAACTATTTTTCATTTTAAAATAATTAAATGAAAGATTAGATAAAAAATAAATAAAAAGAAACAAATAAAACCAAAAAATTAAATAAAATAAAATAAGTTCATAAGATTTAATTGAAATTACAAGAAGAATTTTGTTTTTAAATAATTATCTAAAAATTCAAAGAAGCTTAAATTAAAACAAAAATAATCATAAATTAAAAAAGAGAAATGTAAAAAATTTTTAAAAATTGGATGAAATTAAAAAAAAAA